AAGGAATGATGAAATATTCTTCATTATCCATATATATATATATATATTTGGATAATGAAGAATATTTCATCCCTAAATTCCCCAAATTCGCTTCAAAAAGAACGAAATTTCTCTTAATTATCTTATTAATCCCTAAAATTTCTTTTCATTTTTGGACGGACGAACAAATATTTTCTTAATTAACCAAAACTTGAAGGAAAATTCTCCCTAAATTTCTTGAAATCATCGCGCGAGGGAAAAAATTTCTCCTGGATAGCCGAATACAATTTAAATCGTATAATTTGGGGAGAAAGCGCTAAATATTCTTCACTGTGACAGAGAATGAATAGATTTTTATTTAATTATCCAAAAAATTATTTTTAAAATCAGATATTAGTGAATTGAGAGACGAATAAGCATAATTAAATTACATTTTTATTTTAATTTTTTTTTCAGTGGGATCTGGTGTGTGATAAAGCCTGGTTGCCAGTTCTAGCTTTGTCCCTCTTCCAATTCGGAGAGTTCATAGGTCAAGGACTCTACCTGATTTTCATGCAGAGGTAAGGAAGGACCTTGTACTCACTGGAAGGCGCGACCGTTACGGAATTTATAGTAGTAGCGTGGTATTTTATCTGCCAGAAAATTAAATGTCGACGGAGCAATCGATGTCACCTCTCCAGCCTGAAGCAACGAGAGGAATGGTATATACACAACTACCGACAACGGAACCGGAAGTAGTGGAGAGATTTACGCGCTGTTAAAATCGTTAATTATACCACCAACGGCCACCATATTTATTTATTTATTTATTTATTTCATAGGTACGGCAGACGTCCGTCTTTCTTCCTCTTTCTTACTGTTCAGTGCCTTGTTGGAGTCGTAAGCGCATTCTCGCCAGACTTTGTGTCCTTTGTGCTCTTTCGACTTCTGATGGGCGTCACTGTGCCTGCTGTCAGCGCCACTCCTGCTGCTCTCGGTAACTCTCTTTTTTTAAAAAAAAGAATTCTCTACGTAAGCTTGAAAAATGTGATTTTAACACTCTGAAAGTCGTAAAAAACACTATGTAACTCACAAAAAAACATAACTGACACGTTGTTTCTCCACTATTGTTATTATTTTTATTGTTATACATGTATACATGAATCTGAAAATTCTCTTTTTCAGTTTTTGGTGTAAAAATTCTCTTTAATTGGCATAAAATATGTTAAATTTTTTCCGGAATTATCAAAGAAGGAATACTTTTGTTTTGCTGCTAAGAAAACTTTAGAAATTTTATTTAATTATTAAATAATACTCGAAATATCCCTAAATTGTCGCTAGAAATAACAAATTTTCGTAATTATAATTGATTATCCACCAAATTGACGAGCGAGTGAAAAATTTTTCTCTAATTATTTGAATAATTCCTAAAATTTCCCTAATCGTCTGAATAATCCCCAAAATTTCCCCAATTGTTTGAATAATCCCCAAAATTTCCCTAAATTGCTGAACGTGTAAACGAATTTTCCCTTAATTATTCAGAGAATTAGGGAAATATAAGAAAAAACTTTTCTTAATTTAATTTCGGGAAATTCCCCCCGAATCATCTCAGAAGATTAATATTTCTTTCCTGTTTTTAATTATTAAACACAAATATACCAAATGGACTGCAGAGTACGAAATTATTTCTGTTTATTTCTCCGTATTTTTCAATTAATATCGATATTTTCTAGTACAACTTACAAATGATACGTCAAATTTTTCCGTATATTTACTTATTAAATATGCAATTTCTAGTCGCTTGTATGTTTTTTTCTTGAGAATTTTACTTGATGATCTTCCAGTTTCCATTTTTTTGAAACACTTTCCTACGAGTTCCGATTAAAAATTAACTGAAAAATTGTTTTTAGGATATTAAAAATATATAAATAAAGCAATTATATTCTAAGTCTAGNTTTAAGGAAAGTAAATAGACAATTGATCGGCTTATTTTGGAGTGTTTTTCACCTCTCAAAAATCTGCTCGAAGAAGAAGAGGAAGAATTGACTTCTACGCAGAAGTAAAAACACAATTATGCTCTTTTTTATTATGTTTCTTCTCTCCTCTCCTCCGCTTTCTTTTCCTTTATATCTTCTCCCTTCTCCTTTACCATTTTTTTCCACTTTTTCCTCTTTGTTTCTTCAAATCTTCTCCCCATTATCCTTTTCATCCCTCTCTTTCCCTTCAAATCTTCATTTCCCTTTTCACCATTTTCGTCTTCTTCTTTTTCATCTTTCTTTCTCTTTAAATCTTCTTTTTCATTTTTCCCTCTCTCTTGGTCCTCTTCTTCTCCTATTTTTCTCTTCTCTTCTCCTTCCTTCACCTAATCATCGAATTTGAAGCAGCCAATAACCATATCGTCAATAACCTACTTACCATATTACTCTCTCCTATAATTTAGGAAACAAACTTATGTTCGTACTAAAAGAAGAAATAGAATACTAAGAATTCCTCTATATAAATAAGAACCGTTAAAAACTGCAAATAAGCAGTTAAAATTTTTAAAAGTCATTTAATAATCACTACTCAATTATCTTTTAGGATATCGTTGGTAAATTTAATGATTACCTTTTGATACTAATCACTAATATCTTAAAAAAAACATCGGGCGGCATCTTCAAAAAATGATTATTGATACACAGATATGAGCAATGATAACGAAGACATTAGTAGTATCATTAAATGTAAGTTAATAGTTGTTTTTTAAAATGGTTACAGCATTTTACAAGTACCAATTATCATAATATAGTAGCATCTTAGAAAGGAGCAATAACTATTATCATCAAGAATCGATCTTTAGCACATTTTAAAACATATTTAAGATAATTTTACATAAAAATAAAGCTAATTATATCAACTTTAAGACAAAAAAAACCCTCTTTTTTTAAGTAATAAACGATTTAAAATTCTTCATCTATCGATCCTCACCAATACTTAAAAACATGTTATAAATATAAAGAAAGAAAAAATACGCATAACGTTAGAAATTTTCGTATTTTAAACTGGTGCGAGATGCAAAATATTAGATTTCATCTGAAGAGGCGTGTGTTTTTTTGGGGGTCGTTTCCCAGCGGAATCAATGTTATTGCCATCCATTTACTGTTATCATTGAACGAAGCGAAAGTATAGTAATAAGTATCGAAGGCAAATGTTGTCTTCCCACCTCGGTTGTTATCATTATCGATCGATATTCGATGATGCTATTGCACTCTTCTGTTTGAAGGATCTCGTTTTGTGTCTGTTGGTACCACGTCAGAATAGAAACAAGATCAGAAATCGTTTGCTTCTTTCAAACTTTTTCAATTATAAGAGTTTCGAATTATATGATTGCAATTATTTCTTATGGATTCCTTTCTGCCATTTTTCTCTGTTGAATCTATCACAATCAATTCTAATGTAATGATCAATAGCATTTTAGTTTATTCGCACTAATTAGTGGTACAAATGATGGTTACTAATAAACTATACAAGCAGTTTCGATGACCTAACTGCCAGAAGCTGCGATAGTCCAACTAGCAGTATCTATACAACGTATTTATGTATTAAAAAAAAAATTGAAAGTTTCTGTATTATAGAAAAGAGAACAGATGTTCCGTTTAGAGAAGTAAAGAAAATGTAAATATTTCAAAGAAAATTTACTTCAGAAATATTATTTTAACCGGATCTACGTATATCTGTCAGCAGCAAAGAACGGATACGAGAAAATTTCAATTTTCTTCGTCTTTTCGGGAATTTTGACAGTTCTCTACTCGCTTAACTCTGGTGTTTTATAAGCACTTCCCTTTCTCTCTATGATTCTTAAACAAGATAAAGGTTTAGAATCGCAAATTTTGGACTCAACTTGATGCAAATCATGTATTATTCATGACAGACGGTATATGAATAAATTCAGCAAGCTCCATTTCACAAAACACCAACTCTTAGTTTACAAAACTCCGAATTAATTGCTGTTTTTTAAACTATTTCACTGCGTATACACTACTCTTCTACTGTATTTTCTATAATAAAATTTTTCTCACATTTATAACAGAGTTTTGAAAATATTTGAGCTTATCTTTAATTAAAATGATAACATTTATGTGCTAAGTAATAATCGCTTTATGGATTTGCATATCTGATAAAATGCAATTTTCACATCAAGCTAGAATTTATCCATTAAGAAGAATAAAAGAGGAGAGAGAAAGAGGGGAAAAAAGAGGAATTTAAGATGCTTAAACGTTCACATAATTCAGTTAATTTGATATCCGATAATTTCGAACCAAACTGCTGTTTTTGCAGCTTAAGTAATAGGATTAATGCGAAAGTAGTATTATCAGAGGGAGTCGAGTACACCTCTAACTTTCCACGAATAAATTACGGAAAAATAAGAAAAAAAATTATCTTTTTACTAATTAAAATATTTAAATTATTTTCTTCTTATCCTGCTTTAATAAATAGGTGTCATTTGGAAGCAATTAATAAGGATCAGATCTCGCTTAGATTATCTGCATTGTGGGAACAGGTTGTGTTATATATTTAATTTGTTTTTTTTTTCCTTTTCTTCCGAAAATTGCTGCTTAATTCATTTAATATATCAAACAAAAATATAATTTTTAGCTAGAAAAATAGGAAAAAAAATCGATCCTTAATCCTGATTTTACGTAATCCCAGCAATTTGGCTCTCTCGAATGTCTTATAACACATAAAAGGAAGGGACTTTTAGATGGCTTCCTAGAAATAACCAGTGTCTAATCTAATAAAATATAATTTTATAGTTTAAAAAGGTAATAGATAATCCTCGAAACCGATTCCAAGTCTTAATTGAACGTGTTCTGCTTTATAGAAACTCGTAGACAATGATTTCCTAATTGTAAACATAAAATTAGTTAGAACTACAACCCGAACATTCAACACAATCAGAAGATAAATATTCGTGAATTTAGCGTGCTTAATTTATAATTATAAACGATACTTTGTTTACTATGCTATACAAACTTCTGCATTGTATTGTGTTTATGAGAACTCGAATGTTTGTTTTCCATTGGATTATTACAAACTTTAATTGTAATGACTTGTTGTGTTACAGTCGTGTACAATATGAAACAAATTCCAGTGCCTAGGATATTTAAATAGGTCTAAGACACCGGTTTGAGATACAGTCGACCCCCTATAACACTGTTGATTTTTTCGTTTTATATGAATTCCATGTTGTACGAGTCACTTGAATTTTACAAATACGTGAGCCGTTCACAGCCCGGCACACGTATCTGTAAAATCTAAGTGACTCGTACAACATGGAATTCATATAAAACGGAAAAATCAACAGTGTTATAGGGGGTCGACTTGTACTCAGATCAATAACCTTATTTCTGATCCCACCCGGTTATGTTTCACGGCACCGGGATGTACTATGTATATTTTTATTTTAATAAATAACTGAACTGTACTCAGATCAACGTCTCGAAGTCCTTACACATTGGCTTCTGTTTTGTTGTAAACAACTAAAAAAATCATCGCGTAGGTGTCCTTAAACATTACAAAGTTTGAAGCTTATACAATTTAATAAAAATGGCGCAAATATTAAGACCTAAGCCAATGACTGCGCTAAATGCTCGAGTATAGTTGTAATTAATCTTTTTTCCTTGTGAATTAATGTTACGTTAAAGCATCAACTACGTACAGTATTGAATATCTTTCGAAAATTCAGTATGGATAGAGGAGACCGGAGTAAAATAATTACTTTCTTTATTGAACAACCAACGAGAATGGCACTGTGAAGAAAAGGGAAAGCAATACACCATTCAGTTGATAGCGCTTTCTCATTTTTCAGTTTCTGTCCATCATTCTTCTTAACGTCCCTCCCACGTTTCTCAGTTATTAAACGTCTCTTACGAACTGGACTTTTCCGCTTTGGTTCCTCCCGTATCGGGAATAAAGCAAAACGTCATCCTCCCCCCTTCTTCCCTTTCTGTAATGATGCCATTAAAGCTGTAATGACGTAATACGATGTCTTCTCGAAAATAAACAACGTCTCCAAATCCCCATCGGGGTCGCCACTATCGATCGGTCGACGTCGCTAAAACTGAGCATGCGTCTCGTCATTCATTACGTGATTCATCCGTTTGCCTGTCCGTACGCAAAAATTAACTAAAAATTTAAAAATACACCCGCCATTTGTTTTGCAAATGCAATTTTCTAATGCACCATTTTGACTTTTCTTTTTGGGGATTTTTTGGGGATTTTTTTTTCCATTGGGGAATGTAATTTTTTGAAATAAAACGTTAGCAATCGATTCTGAGTTTTGTCCTCTAACCAAAAAATACGGCTTTTCTACTGACAAGATGTTTCATCGCCGTCTCGAGATGAGAGATTCGTTTCGTTACCTAAGCAGACACGATGGCGGATGGATCCAAATATACGTCGTGCTGTATGTCTGTACGTTAACTGTAGTTATTTTTAAATATAAAATATAGAAATTTTTCTTGGTATTTTTCGGTGGTTCTTCTATAGAAAAAAAGAAGAAGAAAAAACATCTTTTCCTTCGAATTTCAAAGAGAAAAATTCAAAAAAGCAAGGGATTTATCTAAGAATGTGCACGAAAGATATCGTATCGTTTGTAGAGAGGCTTACAATTTTTATATGTTAAAAAAATTTTATTAAAAAAAAATATATTTTTGCCTTTAGCTATAAAAGTTCTAATTAATTTCTTTCGGTATCTGCGAGAAATGTTCCTAATTATCCGAAAAGTTTAAGAAACTTTTCGTAATAATATCGAGAAATTTCTTCTAATTAAGGGAAGAGTGTGATTCTCTGAATTATTTTTTTAACTTTTGATGTAAGATATTTTTAAAATTTATTCAGGAATGAAAAGACTAAATGTCTGCTTGATTATTAACAAAATTTTCAAAATTTCCCTTAAACTATCCGGCAAATAACACATTCAAAATATCCCTAAATCATCTCTCCATGGAATAAAATGTCTCCTAATTATCTAAATAATCCGTGATCATTTTAAAAATTGATAAGTGAGTGAATTTACCATTCAAATAACACCCAGAACTTCTTTTTAATTACTTAAGTAATATCTAACATTTTTCTAGATTGTTGACAAACTTGCAAATTTTCCTTTAATTACTCAGATAATTAAAGGAAATTTCCCTAATTAGCAAAAAATTCTGGAATTTTCCCTAAATTGTCAGCAATCGAACGAAAAGTTTCTCTTATTTACCCGAATAATACCTAAAATTTTCTCGGATGCTTGAATAAGTGAATGGATTTTTCCTTAATTATTATAATAAGACAAATTTATCCCTAAGTTTTCTTTAATTACCTAAAAATTTCCCTATGTTGGTAAACGAGGGAATAAATGTTATTTTAAATATTATATATATATATATANTATTTGGATAATGAAGAATATTTCATCCCTAAATTCCCCAAATTCGCTTCAAAAAGAACGAAATTTCTCTTAATTATCTTATTAATCCCTAAAATTTCTTTTCATTTTTGGACGGACGAACAAATATTTTCTTAATTAACCAAAACTTGAAGGAAAATTCTCCCTAAATTTCTTGAAATCATCGCGCGAGGGAAAAAATTTCTCCTGGATAGCCGAATACAATTTAAATCGTATAATTTGGGGAGAAAGCGCTAAATATTCTTCACTGTGACAGAGAATGAATAGATTTTTATTTAATTATCCAAAAAATTATTTTTAAAATCAGATATTAGTGAATTGAGAGACGAATAAGCATAATTAAATTACATTTTTATTTTAATTTTTTTTTCAGTGGGATCTGGTGTGTGATAAAGCCTGGTTGCCAGTTCTAGCTTTGTCCCTCTTCCAATTCGGAGAGTTCATAGGTCAAGGACTCTACCTGATTTTCATGCAGAGGTAAGGAAGGACCTTGTACTCACTGGAAGGCGCGACCGTTACGGAATTTATAGTAGTAGCGTGGTATTTTATCTGCCAGAAAATTAAATGTCGACGGAGCAATCGATGTCACCTCTCCAGCCTGAAGCAACGAGAGGAATGGTATATACACAACTACCGACAACGGAACCGGAAGTAGTGGAGAGATTTACGCGCTGTTAAAATCGTTAATTATACCACCAACGGCCACCATATTTATTTATTTATTTATTTATTTCATAGGTACGGCAGACGTCCGTCTTTCTTCCTCTTTCTTACTGTTCAGTGCCTTGTTGGAGTCGTAAGCGCATTCTCGCCAGACTTTGTGTCCTTTGTGCTCTTTCGACTTCTGATGGGCGTCACTGTGCCTGCTGTCAGCGCCACTCCTGCTGCTCTCGGTAACTCTCTTTTTTTAAAAAAAAGAATTCTCTACGTAAGCTTGAAAAATGTGATTTTAACACTCTGAAAGTCGTAAAAAACACTATGTAACTCACAAAAAAACATAACTGACACGTTGTTTCTCCACTATTGTTATTATTTTTATTGTTATACATGTATACATGAATCTGAAAATTCTCTTTTTCAGTTTTTGGTGTAAAAATTCTCTTTAATTGGCATAAAATATGTTAAATTTTTTCCGGAATTATCAAAGAAGGAATACTTTTGTTTTGCTGCTAAGAAAACTTTAGAAATTTTATTTAATTATTAAATAATACTCGAAATATCCCTAAATTGTCGCTAGAAATAACAAATTTTCGTAATTATAATTGATTATCCACCAAATTGACGAGCGAGTGAAAAATTTTTCTCTAATTATTTGAATAATTCCTAAAATTTCCCTAATCGAATAATCCCCAAAATTTCCCCAATTGTTTGAATAATCCCCCAAATTTCCCTAAATTGCTGAACGTGTAAACGAATTTTCCCTTAATTATTCAGAGAATTAGGGAAATATAAGAAAAAACTTTTCTTAATTTAATTTCGGGAAATTCCCCCCGAATCATCTCAGAAGATTAATATTTTCTTCCTGTTTTTAATTATTAAACACAAATATACCAAATGGACTGCAGAGTACGAAATTATTTCTGTTTATTTCTCCGTATTTTTCAATTAATATCGATATTTTCTAGTACAACTTACAAATGATACGTCAAATTTTTCCGTATATTTACTTATTAAATATGCAATTTCTAGTCGCTTGTATGTTTTTTTCTTGAGAATTTTACTTGATGATCTTCCAGTTTCCATTTTTTTGAAACACTTTCCTACGAGTTCCGATTAAAAATTAACTGAAAAATTGTTTTTAGGATATTAAAAATATATAAATAAAGCAATTATATTCTAAGTCTAGAGAATTTAAATAATAATTTATAAATTTTTTATCTATTTAAAGATCATAATTATCCTTAAAAATATTACGTTTATCCCGAATATCAAAACATTGCATTTAATTATTAAATAAATTTTCATCAATTGTTCACCGAATTTATAAAAATCTACGTTAAATCTTTAGGTTATATGTAAAATATGAAAGAAAATGCTATTGTCTTTCTTAAAAATTACTAAAAGCCTTCAAATTCAAGAGTATATTAAAGCATTGTAAATCTACTGTGTAAAAATCTCATATTTTGCTTCTAGCTTCATCCTTCTCCCAATTTGGAAAGTTTAAAGGTCAAAGACTTCACCTGCATCGAAATAAGTAGTCTTTTGAACTCAATTTAAAGCAAATTTTACATTTTACTCTCCTCTTCTTGGCTAAAATCAACTTTATTCTCTATAAAAAGTCTACTCTTTCCACTTAGGGAAGAGAGAATAGGAAGATGTTGCAGGGATGGAAGAAGAAACGGGGGATTAGTACTTAGACAAGAAACTTTTGTGACGTCATAAATGAACAAAGAAAAAGTTTTTAATAGGCGGAGTAGAGTCGATCTCACAAAAGTGTCAGTTTCATAGCTGTCATAAAGTAGGACCATCCCGACTGAAGGTAGTAAAACATGCAGTTTGTGTGCAAAAAAATCAGCCGGAGGTAGAAACTACAGCTATCTCTTTTATAAAGACATTCCTTCGTATGAGCAAAGATGGCTATAAATTCCCCCCTCCTTTTTAGATAGACGAAGATACAGTATAAATTTTCATCGATTTTTTAATATTCAGTTTAAGCAGAAAAGAAAAAAAAAACATAGCTTGCAACTGGAAGATGCTAACCTCTTCTTCTTCCGGTTATTCTCTATAATAAGAAGGCGAAAAGGATGTAGAAACATCTTCCTGTATCCTATTGAAAGTGATGGAATCCGGAGAATTGTAGCTAAAGATCGGATAGAGCTCGATTTTTCTGTTATTTTCTCGAGTATCAAGAGAACTATTCTCTTCCAGTCTAAAGAGGGGATTTTACTCGTTTTATTAGCCTTGGGAAGATGTATCAGGAGTGGTATAGTGCTTTCTCTTCTCTTATTCACGATATATTCTGTAGAAAGCAGAAAAAAAGACGTAGAAAGTGAAAAGAAATGTATCCATATAAATGCGTACCTTTTACAAATTTACTCATTTCCTTGTATTTTATCTGTAATTTGTTTTAAAAAGTGCAAAATTTTATTTACTTAGTCATCCGGAGTCTCTTCCAAGTATACTAAATTAACGAATATTCAGGAGAAATGTCAGAATTAGTTTGTTTCTAGTTTCAAGAAAACTAATTGCATCAAGCATCAAGATTGGTTATTTGCATTAAGTTTCGAGAATGGTTGTTTCTATATATAAAAAATTGGTATGCAACTGGCAAGATTGGTTTGTCCTTGTTGTAAAAAAGTGCATGCATCAAGTGTCAAGGCTGGTTACTTGAAAATCCGAAATTGCATCAAATTCCATTGCTTCAAGTTGCAAGAAAACCAGTTGCATCAAGTGTCAAGATTAGTTCCTCGAAGTTGAAAGAAGATTTCAAGTCTTAAAATTAGTTGGATCGATTTTCAAGAGCAAGTGTATCGAACTTTCGAGACTAGTTGCATCCGGATACGTGTAATTTCGACAGAAACTTTCGAGAATTTGCACGAAAACATTTGCATAAAGTTGTTGCCGAGAATTCTTAAAACCATCGGAGAAGCAGATTTTCCAATCAAAGCAATGACAAAATTGAAAGTGACCTCGCTCCGGGTCATAAAAGTGACGAAATTTATGTTAAAACGGTGACGTCGACAATAGCCAAAGGTTTTACGATTATCGAGCGGACAGTAAACCAATTTTAAATTTAGATTTGGGCCAATATTTAGTATAATAGACCTATATAATTTATAATGGAACCAGTTTTATATCTCAATCCAACTTTAGTTAAAAGAAAAACACTTTCGAATAGTGTATAACCCCGGGAGGTAGAATCAATCTTCGACTTTGATTGTCTTTCTTTCGGTTGGTTGCATCACGAAACGACCTTTAGCTACCTTAATGGGCTAGTCTAGTAGCAGAAATGAGAAAATTTGCTTTTTATCAGTTCTAAAAAACACTGTTTATTCTATCTCCCTTGCTAGAAAACACAACAGATCTTCACTCAATACTTGCTTCGATGATAGAAAAAACTGTTTTCTAACGAAGCTTATTTCTATTTGTAGCCCAAGAGTTGGTAGGAGCGGGTCTAAGATTGCAAGCTTGGCTATTGAGCTGTTTTTCTAGAACTTTAGGGATGCTTCTGTTGAGTGGAGTGGTTTATCTCATACGTGATTGGGCCCATCTCTCCTTGGCCAACACACTGCCCTTCATCGCCTTCTTCTTATATTGGTGGTAAGTTTACTTAATCTATCGCCTTTTAACTTAGTGTAACTCGATACTCGTGTAGTGTTCATAATTCTTTACCTCTATAATTAGCCTTTTTTTTATGTGTACAATTGTTTAAAACACTGAATAATTTGACGTTGGATCACCTTGAATATGACCCTTTTTTTTATTTTACAAATTTATTTCGCATTATGCAAAAAAAAAACGTAAAAAACGTAAAAAAATTATTTAATTTTATTTTCTGAGTTCGGTTTTTTAAATCTTTATAAAAGGTATTTTATTGAATTGGCCCGATCAAAACCTCGATAGTTTCTATTAAAAGACACCAATGGAGCTTAACATTTTAAAGAAATAGTTTATTGAAAATGCCTTTCTTGTGGTTTGCTCTACAATCTCAAATCGATAATCAATGTCAAAGTTGCCTATCGAATTTAGATTTATAGATTTTTTACTCTATAAAGATCCATAGAAGCTTTCAAACTGAGTTAAATTGCCATATTGAATCCGTATGAACCAGTCACTTTCGTGTACAATAAATTGAAGGAAACTGCGAACAGGACTTAGATATTGAATTCAATTTTGATCGATATCTCAACAATTTTAAACAGAATTTTTGTAGTTTTAAGAAAACATAATGTGTACGTAAATACTTTTAAATCTTGCCCAATTTAAAGCGGAAGTAGACAAATTTAATTGAGTAATTCGTGCACTTTTCTACCCCTTACTCCACAGTTACGTGTTTAAATCGTTTCCCTCATACAAATGTTTATTTTTATTAATATTTTTTTGCTAAATAACAATAGAAAAGATAAGTTTTGTGAATTAAATCCTTCTTCGCCTATTAAAAAATCACCTTTGTAACTTAAAACCATCAAATCGTAAACCTTTAATTAGTAACTTAAACAAGAAGAAAATCTTGAACTCGGTTTAAATTCTGATCCCTCGAAAGAAGTTTTAAGCTTGTCACTTAATGATTGATGGCATCCCTTAATACCACTTCTACTGTATTTTCAGTCTAGACTTCTAAAGGATAAAATAAATGGAAACTTTCCAAAAGTTTAAAATAATAAAATAGCAAAAATAAGTAAAATATTAATGATAAATTAGTATAACTATAGGAGAAGAACGTGAAAAAATAGCAGAAACAAAATGGAGGAGTTCCACGCTCTTCTCGTATTCTTCGTAATAAAGCTGCTAGTATCGTCGTTTGAAGAATTGTTAATTAAGATATGGAGCTTACAGGGTGGTCCGAAAGTCAGTTAACTAAAATATTTTTTTTTACCAATGTTGGAACGGTTATCGCAATGGCAAATAGTATGGGGTTGTTTCTAAACCAGTTTTAACCATTATTAAAATATATCTCGGTTAACTGATTTTTGAATCCTTCTGTATGTATTAAAATGTAATATTTTCAATGGTAATTTGAGTTGCCTATTGTTTAACTGTTTGTTTCTACACTAATTTACAGTCCGAAGCCTTTGATGAAATTATTTGTGGTTCCTCCTTTAAAACTTTGTGTAAAATACCTGTTAAATTCGACAGCTGAACATCAGTTATATTTTTTCTACTCAGAATACATTTTTACTTTTAAAAAAGTCCTTAATTTTGCAATTTATTCGTACGATCTCCACAGGGTAGAAACTCTTAAAAGAACGTTTTTGACTCCCTCTTTTTTTTTAAAAAAAAAGTTTATATTTATTTATAATATTTATAAAAATTAATTTTTGAAACCTTTCGCAATAATTCAGCAGTTGGTTAGGATTCTTCCAGAGTCACCGCAATGGCTACTAAACGAAGGAAGATTCGAAGAATTAGGTAGATTGTATAGAACAATTGCTCACACCAACGGTGCTAACCTCTCTCCTGACTACATTATCAATCTGAAGGTAAGTCCCCGCTTACAATCAATACAGGATGGCCTAAATATCAGTTAACAATGGGGGTTTCTTTTTTTGCCTGTTATTATACGTAAATGCGTGCCAACATGTGTCGAGCAAGAAGGAAGAACTTTTTCAAGATTCATAAGGTTTTACAATGGTTAGCTGACTTTTGGGCTACCCTATATATATATATTATCTACATGGAAATGCCATCAACAGGAACTGATGCCACCGACAGTTAGTAGGTTGCAATTGATAGTATTTTCATGTGGTCCTGAAAGAATCGATAGCGTGTCTAAAATTTTCATAAAAATTTAATCAGAAAATTTCAAGAATTTATGAATTTAGAACGAAATTCTTGCTTTTTTCCCCTGTATTGCAGAGGAGATTTCGAGTGGAAAGGGCACTCCAAGACGAGAAAAGTTCTGATGATAGTTATTCCTTAGCTGACTTGTTCAGAACACCAAATTTATGCCGTAAAACCTTGATCGTTTCCTTTGTACGGTGAGTTCAGACGGTGGTTGTTTTTATTAATTATTTTCCTAATGGACAGTTTGGCAATCTGGTTTCTTTTTCAGGGTGACTAACACGGCAGTGTGCGTTGGACTGACGTATTACTCTGTCGAAATAGAAGGTGATCTGTACCTGAACTTTTTCCTAGCAGTTGTTGCCGATCTGATGGGTTTAGTGGTTGCTCTTATCATGTTAAAGAGGTATGGAAGGCGTTGTTCGGTGTTTTTATGCTCCGCTGTTGGTGGAATGCTGTCATTGATTATATCAACAGGCAGATGCAGTTAAGTGTATTTTTACAGTTTTTAACTTAATTCGATTAGTCAATATGTTAGAAAACAGTAAATTATTAAGAAAATATTTAGATATTTTTTATAATAAGATAGAGTTTTTACATTGGAGTAAATCGGATCAACACGTTCTAAGATTTAATTTTAATTAGTTGGTGATAATTAATTATGAATATTTCACACTTAATTATGATTTAATTTTCCACTATGTAAGTTTATTTTTCAAAAATTTCTATTGCTTTTTTTACCCGAATCTCAGGGGGAATTAAACTTTCAAATCCAAGAATAATTTAAAGAATTTTTGTAAACAAATTTATAACGACAGTCGAGCGCATTACCTGTTGTCTCTATCAATTTTTGTACAGGAACTGTTAAGAAACAAAGTTAACACGCGGCATTTTCTACCCCCGCGTAATTTAACAAATAATCAATTTTGACAGGTAAGAAGACATCGCAAGTATTGTTTGTGGTGGCCAAAACTACGGTGTCGTCATCGTGTATCATCCTGCCACTATGGAGCTCTGAATTACTTCCGACGGTGGTGAGGGATGTGGGACAAAACATGCTAGAAGTTCTTTGCTGCTTGTCTCCAGTCATCATACCTTTGCTCATTTATCAGGTATCTCTCCTCCTTCTACTCTCTAGTAATGTTTATTCCCATAGCGCTTAATGCGAAAAGATACGATAATTAGCAACATCACATCCGGAAGCGTAGCTCCTAAATTATAAATAAAGGAAGGGAATGTTTGCCGCCAGGCAGAATTAATCGAGTGTAATTCCTAGGGTTGACTGCTAGTAATCAGGTATAGAGAAACGACTGCTCTCGCTGCATCGGAAGGCGCTAGTAATCCAACACCTCTCTTAATTCTTCTGGTCGAAACGCTCTCTGCTCTCCTTGCTCCCGTAATTAATGTGACGAAGTCGAAATACTTCAATGCTGGGATTTAAAAGGGCTTAACGTAGCATCTGACACAGCAGTTTCGAGTTTTCTTACCTTCTAATCTCTTATACTTTTCTGATAAAATACTTTTAATACCTTAAAACGGGTGCGGTTTCATATAATCTCTGTTCTCTCCGAATTTCCGTCAATTCCTCACCGAAAATTTCTTTCTATTTCTCATAAAAATATGTGAATTGTAATCGAAATTTATGTATTTATACAATCGAAAGTAAAATTAACCGGTGACAGATACGCGCCTCAAGTATCTAGGGAAAAAATAAAGCCATTGTGATTGTATATTATAATTTATAAATAATTCTATAGTTACGGTTAGACGTTATTACTTGTGAAATTATCTAGAGGAACCCCAATCTTCTGTGTCTAAGAGTCCGGAAAGTCACTGATTTTAACTATGATAAAGTGAACGTAACTTTAATTAATGTCATGGATTTCGTGAATTTATTAGCATTGTTTATTTTTTAGTCACAACAATAATATAATTTAGTTACTATTTTAAAATAGATCCAAACCTTTAAGCTCCTTTTCTTGAGATAATTAAAGCCTACTTAGGGTCAAATTTTCCTCTACTTTAAGTGCATATTTTCAATTTTCCTATTTTATTTGTCTACGAATTATTGTTCTGTAGCTATTGTACGAAGTGAAATGCCTCAAATAAATGTTACAATCAAATCCAACTCTAAAAATATAGCGCGTGACAGATAGACATTCAGCAGTTTTTTGTTGTAGGAAAGTTATATTCTTTCAATAGTCTGTAATTTAGTTCTTTCAATTTTAGTTGTAATTAAGTGAGAAGAATAAAAGAAATGCTAATTCATCCTTCTATCGAAGCTGCTTATAGTACAGAACACTTCACTCTCTGTATTGTATTAATTAATTGTTTCGAGAAAAATTACTCTTGTATTTTTCGAAAGAAAAACAAAGGTTTTATTTCTTTCTAATGATAATTCTTATTTTTTACTCTTCATATTTAATTTATTTGTCTGTGGGAGTGCAACCTACAGAGCAAAACTACGAGGTAGTCGAATGAAAGCCTCTCCACACAACTCTTGATGATAGATCCACTTAACAGTTGTTTCACGTTCGAGACGGTGAGCTACAGTCAGTTAACAGCAATTTCCCTGGCTAATTCAGCTTTCAGAAGTTGAATACGTCGACTGAAAGCGGAATTACTCAAGAAGCTATTCTGGTGTTGGAAAGCAAAGTGCTGATAAAAGTTACGTTGTCACGCGTATCACGATGCAATACAGAATGCCACTAGGTTAAACTAAACAAATATGTTTCTTTCATAGAAAAGAAATCATCCAAGCATTCCTCTAGCAGTTTTGGGATCTGTAGAATTAGTATCAGCATTGGGCGCCCTGATGCTGCCGGAACCCTTCGTCCAACAGCTTCCTCAAACCTTAGAAGACGGAGAAGAATATGGGAAACACTGGAGTCTGAAGGACTGCTTCCGGTGCAGCCTTCCCAAGTAAGTGCTTTCGTTTGACACGTTTTGACGTCACGCTGACTTCTCCTTTCCTAAATAGAAATGTTTCTTTGACATTTAAATTGACTCATTGCCATAGAAACGGCACTTCTTACGCTTTGACGCAACTCTTCCCCCCGGAAGGTTTTCTAATGCACTCGAATAAAAGATTCTCTTCCGCTCGAGTCTTTATAATGTAAAAAGCATCCCTTGGCACAAGTTTAAATATTTGACGCCAGCAGAAATTGGATTTCTTGGCCGAACGGCTTCCGTCTCGTTTCAATAAAAATCTTTTCTCCAGACAGTTTTGCACGGAAGACAATCGTCAACTCCTTCCACCCTCTGTTTATTCCAACTTTTCCGAGTTTGGTTATCTTAATAAATAAATGTTTCATAAACCGAACGTATTTTGGCTTCTCCAAAACACAGATTTCACGACTTAAACGAAAATTGGTTAAGGAGGAGGAGCGCAGCATCCGCATCAATGACGCGGAATAAATACAGCATGCGCCGATAAAACGGGGCAAAAAGCACTTACTCTATGCACTCGACACCTGTAATTAAACCTTTTTATCACTTCTGGACTAATAATTTTAAAAATTCTTCACTAGAATTTGCTTTTTTTTAGCGCAATTCTTAAATTAAAGTGCGAATCGATTTCTTCTACACGCTTCCTTTAAAAATTAGATTTTATAAAACATATCAAGCAATTTTATGTTGTATAAAAGCATCTCGTAAAATTTCTTTTTGGATCGTATCATTCAAAATTACCTCTACTAGTAAGGGTGACTACTTATATGGCTCAGTTAAATTTCGTAACTTGAGCAAAAATTAAAGATGTCGACAGAAGATTTGATTATCAAACTACATATTTTTAGGCCAGAATTGAATTTACGATCTTCTTCTTGTCATTGTGGTCTTCCTCAACTTCTCTGTCCATTGGTTTACTACAAAATTTTCGAAGGTAAATTCTCGAATTTTTATAGCAAGTATTATCTAAGTACACTATTTGGATATTCGATCAGAGTGTTTGGTTTATATTATACCATACATTTTTGTATGTTCCTCTTGTCTGCAACTTTTGTCAGGAAGAGTATGTTGACAAAAATAATCCTTATCCAGCAAGGAAGTATTTGTAGAGAAAATAGTTTTGGGAAAAAGAACATCTGCTGATGTCGAACAAACCAATGCATCATACTACAGAATTTTGAAAGAAAAATTTTCCTAGTATTCATTTCGAGTCAAAAATATGTTTTTCCTTATCACTTCTTACCAGATGCTAACGTGTGATAAAGGGTCAAAGGTTGGAGTGTAATGATATGTTCAACTTTGACACAGTTTCTACGACTCTCTACAACTACCTGCATATATATTTTAGAGATATATTTAAGAAGACATCATTAACATCCAATCAAAACCATCATTTCGGGCTCTATCTCTCGAAGACTCAACATTATTGCAGTTAAGATATTAACTGCAATAATGTTGAGTAAAATGCGATAAGGACCGTAGTTCCACTCTTTCTGGGTAATAAATGATAAGAATCAACCTCCCTCGCGATGGATTTGGTAAATTATAAGAGGAAATCGACATATCAAGTTCCATAAATCGAAGAATGTTTGAAAATGTCAACTAGATATCCTCGTTCTGTCAGGGATTATCTTAAACAGCTTTGTCACAATGTTAAAAGGTTTCGAAAATGGATTTCTATCCATTTTTACTGAATAAAAATGGTTTCCTAAAGGCAAAAAGATATAAAATATTGTTTAGATAACTTATTTTAATGGGTTTTCCAATAGTTATCCCATTTTTTTAAACTTTAAATTTTTACTGCTTCTCAAATTTTTATTTTACTAAACTTCAAAAAACTTTCATTAAAAAAATTCAGTATTTCTGAATTTTCTTGTAGATTATGGTATTAAAATAAGTAGCATTGCTATAATCTAATGGTTATATCTTCCAGAAACTATCAAGATATTGATAATTATGATGCTTCTATTAATTAGTTTTACACAGGAAACGTTCGGAACTAATGCCTAGTAGTATCGGAGATTAATTCTGATAAATGTTCCACCTCACTAATCTCCTAAAATCTACATTAAAACCCAAAAACAAGCATGTTACTCCAATTGTTAGCGAGTGAGAAACAACGCCCTTGCAACTGTTGCCAAGAGATTAATGAAGACTGCAGAAATCCAGAGGAAGCGGGATGCTGGGTGGAGTCGATAAGGTGGATTATTTTCATCCACCTCGAGTATGAATGAAACTGGTGGCAATGTTATCAATACCACGTTTCTCAGCCTATTGGTCGAAGTCCATTGTATATTCCCGGTAAGAAATTCCACTTCAAAACACCTAGAAAATCTACTCTATAAGTAAGGAAATTCATCAAAAGATAAAATATTTTATTACTCAAACGGGTAAATATCTCGTTATTACATTTTTATAAACATAATTTACGTTTTAAAATCAGAAACTCGCATCTGGAAGTAGTGGATTTCTCGAAAATTTTATATTGCTTTTACCAAAGTTTGTTTTTAAGTTAGTTTGTCCACGTCAGACGTGTCAAAATGGTGTTACATGAAAAGACCATTTCCACTTTCCAGTTGAGAGAGATCCGCTGTCCAGTTTAACAGCACGTTATACAATTTCTCCTTAAATTTCACGGGTTCAGTATACGAAAATTCGTAACAGAATTTACAAAAGTGTAGATGCTTTTCTTTTACGAATCTAGACACATCGGGCTTTCAGAATCCTACTTTAGAAACCATTAATAATTATAAAAATCCCAAAAGCAATCAGTGTTCCATGTTGAACTACTCCAAGAAGAATTCGAGGAACGTTACCAAGCATTGTTACATGGATCAATAAATCGAAATTACCTTAATTTATAAGCCAAAACCAATCCTTAAAGAATAGCATTGCTTTCAAATATTTTAAAAAATCATTAAAAATCTCATTAATTAAAGTAAAACATTCTCAAAAAAACGTAATTAAAATAAAATATCTTTTCGAATTCTACACTGGATAATACATTTAAAAAATGCGATAGACACACTTCAACATCTAAAAATTTTTATAGTACGAAATTTATTATCGATTTATCCACCATCTATATATATATATATATTAATTTAATTCAGAAGAGTAGAATTTATTCGACTGTCAGGTCGGATATTTTAGAATATGTCATCTGCAGACGTGGCTCGCATCTTGGAATGCAATAAAGCGTTTTCGCTAAGATGTAAATGTTTTAAACGAGGAGAAAATGGCAAATTACGTTATAAAATCTGTAGAATAAGACTTTTAAATAATTCCTAAATCTTCTACACTAACGAAATATCAACGAGATGAGATTTCTACCTTGAAGTATAGGCCTATATAAGATAGACTGCTGGAGCTAAAATATAGCAACTCTTGACTTCTGATTAGCTTACTGTTTTTAATTTTTTTAGCAAATTTTCTATGCAAATATTTGCTTCATAAGTAGACAAATTTTTTCTGGAAGATTAGAAGAAGAAGAAAAAAATGTATATATATATATCGCTTCTACTCACAACAGCTGCTGATAAGCTCTTGGATAATCAGATTTTTAAATTACTTCTTTTCAGAAAAATTTATGTAAAAATCTTAAATTTATCGAATCACTATTTAGTAAAGGTGTAAAATAAATTAAATATAAAAAAAATTCCTAAATTTATTCGACAGAATTTTCTATATTTCGATCCAATTTTCTATCCTGGAAGACTTAGAATAAATAATTTAACTGAATTGAAGCAGTAGAGAGTTGATATAGAATTCTGTTGGAAAAAAGAAAAAAAATCAAATTAAATTAATTATTAATTATTTTAGAATTTTAACTTTTAAATTTAGATATGTTTTTAGGAAGAAATTTGAATTTTTTTAAAAAGTAATTTCGTTTTTTAAGCTCTTGTGCTGTTTAACACGGTGTTAGAGACGATGCCAAGTAAATTAATTCTGGCAATTTTTTTTTATTTCCAGTAATTTAAAATAACATTTTTTTAAATAAAAATTTGTTTGCTATTAACATTTATACAGCATTTTCCTATAGGAATTTATTTATTTTATGACTTGTAAAATTAAAATTATTGTAAAATTAACATTTAATTATGTCTCTACAATTAATGATTACTTATTTTCGAGAAAATCGTTTGTAAAATTAAAATAATCAATGAAAAATGAGTAAGAATAATTTTAGCCAATGAAAATTACGAATTTGTACTTTAGAAAAAGAGGAAATTTCTTTAAATTTTGAATTTTATTTCGTAGTCTTTAAGCAGATGCTCAGCAGCCATAGTTTAAAACCTCTCTTAAAATTGGCCAAATTTGTAATTTTAGCGGATATAAATGTATTAAAATCGAACTTTATCTCATAAAGCAGCGAATTTTTTTTATAAATTCTGAATTTTTTCTTTTGTAATTACGTTTGAAGATGACAGAGCAGAAAAATCAGCCGCGATAAGAGTCAACAACCGCATGAAATTATCTCCCGAAATTGCCTGAAATCTATAATTTAAATATGAAATAACCAAAGTTGAGGCCCCCAAAAAAATGCAAAAATACTTTTTAATTGGGGTCTTTGTAATTTTACTGTTAGAAAACTGTGCGTTGCCAAGATCAATTACAATAGGAGCCAATGTTGTAAAGGGTGCAGATAAGAGTCACGTTTGTTTAAAAAATAAGAAAACTTTTTGCTTGCAAAAACGAGTAAATTTGTAATTTATTTTCTAGCATTTATAATCTAGATTTTCGTTGAAAAATACTGACAGAAAAATATAACCCGTTAACGATAACGACCCAACAGGGTATTGCGGTTCGGAGATGAAGCGTTATCGATTGCCGTGTTGCATGGCAATTACTTAACTTATTTTCTTAAATTTCAGAAGAAAATTCAACAAAAATTTCTTTTCCGTGATGTGGAAAATTTGTTAATAAATTAGTATAATGGTGTTTTATACCATAAGCAATACGTGCCGAGGAAAAGGAGTGATCCGGTAAACAACTAAAGTGGCTTTTCAAATGGTAAAATGGTATTCTAAATTCAGTCCAGGTTCGATAATATCCAGTTACTGTAAAAGTTTGTGATGTCTATCGCTTTTCTTTCTTCGGTTGACATTGATTGGTAGAGGGGCTTACAGGCTAAGAGAGGATCTTAGTCGCAGAAAGCTAAGCTTATCCGGTATGAGTGATAGGGTCTATATGACTGCGCAGTGTACTTTACCATCCATATTTTCTAGCGGATACCTCTGAATGTCAGTCGAGTATCTAACACCCCCACGGTTGAAGCGTAGGAACTAGCAACTAATCGACGAATCTCTTACAGGATGGAGAGTAAGAACGGCATGGTGAAGCCATCCATTCAAGTCCCGCAATCTCCTATACTCAGGTAAGTTAGCAGAGTCCTCCCTCTTCACGCACGAGGAGAAACAAGATCCGTCACGCACAACCGAGGTCGTAGTGGCGTCAATTCGATCCTCCTGCGTGTTGCGGACCGTCACGAATGCTTGCAACTCACACGTTTCTTGCCTTTCTAGCCTACTACGTCATCGAGACAGCCTCCGAGGGACCAGCTCAGAGGGAGAGACCGAAAGTCAATTGGAGCAACAAACTGGTGTCAAGACGGTGATGGTCACGGTACTGTAAACGGAGCGAACTAGTCCAATTTTTGTCATCACTAATTAGAAAAAAAAAATTTCGGAAAGCCTTCGAGCCATTGTAGACTTTTATCTTTACATTAAAAACTTCGTTTCGACAGAAATTCGGGCCCTTTAGGTTTACGTTTATTATCTAACACGAGATTGCGTGATAAGTTAATTACGTTACAGTAACTTGTAATTGCTGGTTTGAATCGTCGTAAACCAAAGAAAAAACGTCGATAAGCACAGAAAATAATGCTGAAATTTCGTATGAGAGAAGGAAAAAACACGAATTTTTCGGGGTGTAATTAGTTTTAAATGGAAAAATTAGCGTGTTTACAGTTATGACCACGTGGTCGAAGTAGATTATCTCATTAAATGGTTGGTCACTCTGTAATCTTCAATAGATTAAACGAAAACGTCGAGCTTTCGTGCAATTTCGCAATTAAAAATTACAAAAAGAATTGTTTGAAGAGTTTAAAGTTAAATTCTCTTTGCTTAGTTATTGAAACGAGAAAGACATTTTTCCCAACAACGTTATCAATTATTAAAATTTGAATAGTTTGCATCACTTCGGGCTTTTATGCTTGAGGGAATTACAATTAAAAGAAGATTCGAGGCGCATATCGCTAAATTTAATCATAAAATTTTTGTTGTTTCTGAAGCATTAAAAGTGAAATTAATCACGAAAATACGAACAGAAAGTTTTATTCATTTCGTATTATTTAAAATCAATTTATGGGCATTAAACTAGTTATCCTCATGCGTGATCGACTGAAAAAATGTTCACTTGCACGGAAAATTTTTAATCAAATTCGAAAAATTTGGCGAGGAAATCGTAAATGCAACGTTCGATCGACGAATTACTGAATTTTATGATAGAAATTTTATTTTTTTAATGATTAAATGAATAAAATTCGGTCACGAACGTCGAGTCGATAGTGTTCGATTATCGCGGTCCCTTTCACTAACACATCAAAACTGGAATTATCTGATATTAAAATAGCTTCATTTTAAGAGGCGTGTCCTTCTATATATTCATTTTTCCCATTTGAACGATGAAAAAAAGGATACGATACGAGAGCATCAGCTAGCTTTCGTGCTGGATATAGAAACACTTTTCTGGTGCATTTTAATAAAGCTAGCACGAAAAAACACCTCATTTATAGGCACAAAACTGTTAGATGTTGCGTAAATTTAAGCAAAATTGAAGTATTTCAACATCTAAAACTCATAAGTGCTGTTGATAAAGGGAAAGAGCGATGCTCGTATATATAGAGATGCTGAAGATCGATGCCGAACGTAAGATAGATAAAAAAAGAGAGAGAGAGAGAGAGAGAGAGAGAGAGATGTTGTGTGAACAAATCTCGCTCCAACCCATCACCTTTCCGATAATTATCGAAGCGATTAAGCAAAGTGTTGAGATGGAGGATCGTTTAGCATGCCACCGATCCCCCATATTGATATAAATTAACTCACGCATCCTTGCACGATTCATAAATATGGTGTAACAAAAGGGAACAATATCGATTCTGTTGTGGAAATTTCATTTTTCATTCTGCCCAGAGGATGTTGGTTCGGATATTTGTCACGTTTCATTGGGGATAATGGGGGTAGGTAAGTGATTGCCCTGGTAGTAGTAACCATCGGTTTTTCACAGAAACACACCTCGAGGTACGTTACTGCTTCAACACACGTAACTATATGTCTGGTGAAGGGAAGAAGTGTATGGTTATTTTAATAATATCTGGAGTGGAAAATGTAGAAGTTGGAGGCGATAAACTACCTGGATGGCTTAAAGATGGGGTCTTGCCAACAATTGAATATGGTTGAGGAAGAAGCTAAGACGATCGATAGTTAATTTTCCTCCGTTTTAAACATCTGGGTCATAAAGCTATTCCGAAATCAAACAACTTCTCCTTTAGAGTCGAATTATCTGGTTAAATGGCTTTTGTCTCCCCATCTTCCGGCTCTCTTCTGGACATTGACCATCTTTTCTATTGGATTTAATTAGATCTTGTTTCTTGTTTCTATAAATCTCACTTTTTCTCAGAAAAAATCACTTCTAGCAAAAGAATGGATCAAACACGCGTAGATACACTCTAAGTAAGAGTTAAATGTCCTCACGTTTAAGTAGAAGGTACCTACGAAGGTGTCCTAGCACTTACGAGAAGTGTTTTTGAGTGGATTTGTATGACCTTTTTTAGAGTATAGTGAAGGTTTTTATGTTAGAATTTCGTATTATGAGAAAATTCCTCACCTTCCTCACTAAACGACAAGCAAACGGGCGTCGAGACATCCGGCTAATAAAGACAACAAGCCGAGTAAACGTAATGATAAATCTATTCTTCGACCCATACCAGTCACGCATCTCCCGTCCGGAAACAGTCGCCATGGCAACCATCCGCATTCTCTTCTGACTCTGTTAGTCTGATGTGGATTCTATTTCTGTTAGGTGGTGAGTTACGACGGGTGGTACGAATTAGTGGACTCTAACGTCCTCAAAAATACTTCTATGATCACAAATTCTATCTTTTTTATTAAGAAATATGCGCAATTAGCTTCGAGATGGTTATAAAAATAAGTCTTTCAGTTACTGAAGAGTAGGAACATTGATCCGATCTGTTGGTGATGTTAATAATCCTTCAGATTTATGATTATTTTAGCATTCGGCAACCTGTTGCTACTTTTAAGAACTGTAAGTTATATCAATTATCTCACCGATAGCAAAATCACACCGTAGATTTAGATGAATTTCAGCTTAATATATTGACGAACAATAAAATTACCCACGCTTTAAACGCTTTAAATATAATTAAAATCCCTAAAATTTAGTTTAAAACACAAAATAAGTGGTAAATCTCAAGGATGCTGATAGAATGATAAAAATTTCCAACATAATCAGCAGATTCATCCCGAGCATCTTTAGCATATTACCATTAAGAAAGTTTCATTAAAACTTGGAATATTGTATAAGAAAATCCAAAGTACGAGTAGAAAGATCACGTAAACGAAGCCACTCAAACTAGAAAAAAATAATAAAAGTTAAACAGCGAACCATTCCTAGGTGGAATTACAGAGAAAGTGGATCATTAGTCACAGTCCTCGTACTCCTACTAGCTTTTCTTCATCTCTAAAACTCTTGCAGAGGGGGTGTTTCTCGATAAGAGTTATCAGCTGCCACCAACCTTTAACCTGAAAAAATTGGTGACTCCCCGGAAGTTAGAGTGTATAACGTGGGCCCCCCTTCCGAGAAATCGATAGTAAATATAATCCCGCTGGCTCCGTTTCGGCAACATTGACTTTTTATGTTGAAAGGAAACGACAATTGAATACCGAAGGAGTGTAACACGAGTATGTATAAGTATAATCGTCTTGCAGCTGTTGCAACTTTATTGTAGTTCTTCTTTTTTTTACAGTTGAAGAATGGAAGATTCTGGTTAATTTTTCTACTTCTAACAAAAGATACAACGCGTATTATACTTCAAAACATGTCTATGCAATTTTAGTGTGCATTTTTTCGTGTTTAGTATTGTGTCGACAACAACGAAAGTTCTGAATTAATAATCGTAATAACTGTCAGTTCTAAGTATATAAATCATATTATGTTGGATGAAGAGGAGAGGTAGAAGATCAAAGAGGATCTATCACGTCACATAGATCATGGTTGTAGCAACAGGAAGCGTACAACTCCCTCTCCCTGTTGCTAGATAAACGTTAACCATCATGGCATAATTGGCGTTACAAGGTTGGCCACGAAATTTCTCTAAATAAGCTTAATAAAATGTGTTTACTTTTGCTTTGTTTACGGTGTTTACTAGCGACTTTTTTGTGATTTCTCTTGTAAATTGTAGTCTTTTTAATTTTCAAATTAAATGATAATATTCTTCAATTTTGAATGGTGCTAGTCGTTTTTAAGCGCTGTTTTTGTCGTATTAACAGCTTCTCTAACGTTCAATCTCTCGAAAATTGTTCTCAATTTTCCCAAGATCTTCAGATTTTATACACGAAAACATTATTTTCTTTTTACCAGATTCCACCTTATTTTCTTTTTACCTTTTTACTCACTCCTGAATTGGTTTAAAGGAGTCGTATTCTGATTTTCTCTGTTTCCGTGTTTTACTCTTAAAAAATTATTAGTTTAATGTCGTGTTAATGGTGAACTTTGACCTTTCTTTCGGTTCATTCAAACGACGGTCGAGGTGTCGGTTAGCAAATCCACGCATTAGAAGGTATGAAATAATTTGAATTTCAGATTAAGCGCCCAGTTTCTCCAGCGTTAGCATTAAGAATTGATTGATTTAATTTCCACTAATAATGAACTTTGACCTTTTTGCCTAGCTCAACAACGATTGAGATTTTACATATTAGTTTCAACGAGACAAAAGGTGTAAAATTCTCAAAAGTAACTCAATACTTTCCCTTTTTTTTTGTACCCAAATCCTATAGTTTATCATTGAGAATCAGCTAGTTAAATTTCAAATTTCAGATGAACTTTAACCTTTTTGGGTCACTCAACCAATGATCGAGATGCCAGTTAGTTAGAAGAAACGAAACTCTTAAAATTAACTCGATTTTGCCATTTTTCGCACCAAGTTTTAGCATTAAAAATTTCTAATGAACTTTGACCTATCTTTTACAGAGATACTTTAACAAATTACACAAGTTTGAAAACTGAAAATTAATTGTATTATCTGGTTACAAATCCTATTGTATAAGTTATGCTTCGACAATTAATTTCAATTAGTCGTGAACTTTGACCCCCTTTTTTTGGGCTAATCAAACAACGACAGAGAAGATGAATAGAAACATCCTCTTTCCTACTATCAGCTTACATAATTTGTTGATGGATGATCCTACTTGCAGCTCGGAAGAATGTATTAGTGAAAGTTGTTTGCTTTCATTCGAGAGGTTCCTTTCTGCTGCCTCCCCCATCGACTCAGATTTCGTGACGTGTAGAGACGTTGAGGGCCAACAATCTGTCATCCTTACATACCAGAATAGATACTCCGTCTCCGGAGAAATTCCAGAAATTACAAACTTGTTCGGTGTTGGAGGAATGTCGGACCGAAGCTGTGTTAATTATACGGTTACTCTGACTTAAATTGTTACGGGGAGTGTCGAAAATCAAGTTTGTACCGTCGTTGGACCCTTGTTTTGTGTCAAAGCGTTGACAGGATGACGATAATCGGGATAGTTACTGGTTTGTGTTCGTTTTATTTTTGTTCCCGTTACGTTACGCTCGTTATCTTGCTTGTTAAACATCTAAAATTGTTACGCCTTTACGGCTTACAAGATTCTTCGAATTCGAAAGCCATCCATAATATGAAAATTATTGTTACGTTCGACTAAAATGGAATCAATTGTTACGTCGTTCGAAATTTCGGTTCGGTTCATTGTTGCGTCAGTCTAAATTACGCGCAAGTTAATTGTTACGTCGATTATTAAGTTCCGCCTCCACCTATTGTTACGTCATTTTAAAATTGCTTTTCGATTTAATTGTTACGTCGCTCGGAAATTATTGTTATTGTTAAAAATTGTGTTATTGAGGAAAAGATTTTATCGTATTATTACGTCATTTTTTAAAAAATAGCACATAATTGTTACGTCAAATTAAAAAATTAGCTAATTTCTACGTCATTTTAAAATGGTGTCTTAACTATTACGTCAAATTAGGAATTATTTAATAGTAAAAAAAGGTTAATTGTTACATCACAAACGGAATTTATTTTATTATTACGTCATTAATTGTTTCTCAATTAGAATTAGAATTTAATTTAGTGTTACGTCGTTTTAAATTAGTAATTAGTCTATAATTACGTCGTTACGAATAGTACTCAATTTATTGTTACGCCATTCCAAAAATGTACTCGATTAATTATTACGTCACACTGGGAGCTAACTTCATTTATAGTTACGTCATTCTGGACCAGTGCTCGATTAATTATTACGTCATTCGGGCACTCTGTTCAATTTACTATTATGTCATTTGGTAACATTTTGATTTATTGTTATTTTATTTTAGTTTTTTTTCGAAAAAATAATAAATTATTTCAATTATTTCTTCTTCGAGAAAAATTATTTGTAATTGTTACGGGGACAAATTATTTCATATTGTCATAAAACACAATGCATCGAAGATTGATGGCGGATATGGCAGCATTTTCTGTGACGTAAAAAAAAAAACAGAAATTACGTTCGGTATGACAAATTAATCGAGAAGATTTCTGTTTTGACGTAACAGTTGATAGCAGCTTCTTTATGACGTAACAATCGATGTAATCAGCTTCTTTCAAAGATTGTTTTACTCAATTGATTGTCATTCTTAAATTAATTTCAATTATTACGTTAAGCAAATTTTCAACCAATTTTAAGAATGACGTAACAACGAATAAAAAAGTAACTTCAAAATGACGCAACAATGAATTCAAACAAAGAGTGACGTAACAATAAATTTAAGAATGACGTAATAATTAAATTAAACGAATTTAAAAACTGGCGCAACAATGAATTCAGAGTGACGTAACAATACATTTAAGAATGACGTAATAATTAAATCAAACGAATTTAAAAACTGGCGCAACAATGAATTCAGAGTGACGTAACAATACATTTAAGAATGACGTAATAATTAAATCAAACGAATTTTAAAACCGACGCAACAATGAATTGAAACAAAAGAGTGACGTAATAAATTAAAACTTCTTTAACTAATTGTTACGTGGATTTCGCTTGACGTAACAATTAGTTGATTTGTTTGTAAACAGTGACATCAGTGTTTTTCAATGAGCAATTTCTAGAATTAATCATGAATTATTTATCGAATTTTTTGATTCGATTAGGAAAATTTTCTGGAGAAGTTTATTTTAGTTTTTTTTATTATTTCAAATAATCAATTATTGGTCGTTGTACGTCAGTCCAACATATTTATAAATTCAAATGCTCCCTAAGCGAATTGATTCATACATTTTACAAATGTAAGAAAAATTCTGGAAAAAGGATTTTAGATGTTTCGGGAGGAGAAGAATGTAAAAAATTCAATAAAAATATCCTTTTTATATTTTTAAAAACGAAAGTGAATCTCGCTCTTTCAACATTCTATAAATCCTTAAATTGATACACTGCATCCCTTTCAGTAATTTTCTCTTGACGAAAATCCAATTCCAATAATTTATGTAAATTTCCTTTTCGCCACGGTTTTACACCATTGTTACGTCGTTGTAAATACGTAATGCCGAAATTCGTCTGGTTATAAAAGCCCGAAGTGTTGCCGAATTTCGTCTCTTTCTACTTACATTTTTGACGTAATAATTAAAATTACGTAACAGTGAATCGATTAAAAAAACTAATATATCGATTATTACGTCACGATTGTGACGTCACGTTAGAGTCGAACTTCATCTCAATTTCTACGTCATCCGAATCGGACTTCGACCGTTGCGTCACAGTGGAAACAAATCTCGATTGTTACGTCATTTTGTAAGGCAGAATCGATAATTGAGTCACCGTAAATTATTACGTCACTGGAATTAAATTTATATTTTTTAACTTGGTGCATTAATTACACAAAACCGACTTTTTTTTCACACTTAATTGGTGTAGTAACTCGGATTTTCGGGTTAAGTTATGTAATTTTTTTACCAAGTCGACCATTTTAATCAGGTTCTTGTTTCGGGACGTGATAAACATCGCAGATGACTCGGAGATAGAAGTAATCCGGTCTTATACCGACGGAATAAATGTAAAGAAAAATGAGAAGAGGAGAAAATCCAATTGTAAATTAACTCCCTTCTGGCGTGGAAATTCGACCCCTAAAATTTGTACCTTTATTAAACGCTCGATCAAACATTTATTTAGAGCTGAGAACGAGTATCGATCGAAAATGGAGAAATGCAACACACGTTGGCTGCAGGCAATTTCCTGTATAGGATGTATATGAAATGGCAATCAATTTGGACATGAATGGCAGTCGAAGCGATTCTCTTTATAGCATCAACGGAAACGTTTCTGTTGGCACTTTGATGGCAAACATTAATTTTCGCACCGAAAAACCGACAATAGAAAGATTTCTTTGGTACTAAAAACATCCTCCGCAGACTGATAAACTGTCGAAAATGCCGATAGAATAACAAAAGATTTTTACACACTTGGCTTTTTCTCGTGTCGTGCGAATTGTTTTATTCGTTTGTTTTAAAATATCGAAAGATTTCGGGAAAATGAATTTCCTCAATTAAGTGAATCTCGTAAAATATCCTTCGGAAATCGACGAATGTACCGTAAATTTTTCAATGAATTTGACGAATAGGCTACGAATTTTTGAATTTCGTGACATCATCTTCAGCCGGTGACTTTTTTTACTTGGTGGGGAGTCACTGCCGTTTCTAAATTTCGGTCCGTTTCGTATGAAGTCAAAATATGCCATCTTTGTTTCGGGAAGGAAATCACTCGATCAGAGTTAACGATCCAGAATTTCGTACTGCTTAACACGCGGAACACATGGAAAATAATAGTATAAAGTTTATTTCTAAACGGATTATCACGCTTAACCGGACAGTAAATTGAAGTAACAATTCCATTACTACTGTACAAAGGAGAGCTTTGGACTAGGTGAATTTAACACTGGTGCAATACTGAATCTAAAAGTGTACGGCCGATAGTCTGTGGTGGTTCGCACCTCTGCCAACGGGTAAGCCGCGTGGAGTTTCCCGGGTTTTATTCGCGTTTGTAACACTTGGTTTATTGATTTACTTTGGCTTGGTTTATTTGTTTACGGCACGTGGAAGACTCCTTGGAAAAAAGGCGTGCAAGTGAGTAAAAAGTTCATCGTGCTTAACCTAAGACATGGAGTAAGAAGTAAATTCTTACTGGAAAAGCATATTTATTGTTTATAACAAAATTGAAGGTACAGTACACATTCATCGTTTCGTCTCGACCATAACAGTGGGTTTCCTACCCGCAGATTTTTCTTTCTGTTTATTGCTGCATTCTGGACACTCGCGAGCCACTACGCGATACTCGACTCGATCTACAGGAAGGAAAATAATGCATTCGCCTCCCGTTTCGATCTCGATGGTTACTCTGGTCCTCTTCTCCACGGCTTCCCTTCTTTCCGAATTGGTCTCTTCTCGATTCCCTTCTGCTCCACTGGGAGCAGATACAACAGGAGAGGGTGGGTGATGATTTCCTTTGGAGGAATTGATATTGAGTTTAACTAAATGGCACGAACTCCCAGACACTTCTAACGAATAGTTTAGTGAGCTTTGGACAGCCTCGTGATCCGCATTAGGAATGAGGAGTAAGGAATTTGGTTTTGAAGAAGTGTTGCAGTTTTCTTGGATATTGGGATGTTGTTCGGGAGCCGGCGAAGAATTTGGACTCGATTTGATGACGCAGCTGGTTGCCGGAGGGACGGAAACGTCGGGTAAAACGGATTCCGGGTTGTGGCAATCGTCTTCGTTATTTTCCTGAGCCACCCAAACGGGGAAGGGACTGTTGGGTGGGGTGTTAATGGGCGAGGGAGCGATCGGTAGTCTCATTTTTGATAGAAGAGAAGACGGAGATAGTATCCTATTCGTTGCTTGAGGAATGGTGACGTCGGGTAAAACAGATTCCGAGTTGTGGCATCTGTTTTCCGTGTTCTCCTGAGCCACCCAAATTGGAACGGCGATGTTCGGAGCCGTGTACGTCGGCGAAGAAGCAATAGGTAATCTCATTCTGGATGGTAGAGGTAGGTTAGATAACACTTCGTTGGTTTCGAACTGTTTGTTAATAGGCAAATCTACAGAACCATCGTTTCGGGGAGAAAGAGGTGTCATCAATGGTTTCATGGTCGTTAACCAGGTAGAGATGAACAGAGGTTCGGAAGGATCGGAACCGTCTAATTGAACTGCGCGTGATCTATGTCTGTAGGCCCTTTTGACTGTCTTTCTGGAGATGGGATGAATTCGATTATTGTTGGATGCAAAAGGTACTTGTCGATGTGTCTTTCGAAGTCCTAACGAATGATTTCCTCTCGTTTCTCTTGCAAGGATAGTGCCATTGTTATTTGTCTTCTCAACTTGGGATTGAACAGAAGAAAATGAACATTTCATCACGTGATTGAAAGGATCTGCCAAATTGAACTGATCGGGTGCATAGGTCATTGTTGATGAATCGTTGTGTTTGAATAACTATAAAAGTAAAGTAATATACTTTTAAAAAAATAGGTAAATAAGAAAGTAATAAAATTAATTTAAAATATTTTTATCTATTTAAAAATGACCTCGTTTGCCAGTTTAAAATCAAAATCTTATTTTAATTGAGTTTCGTTCATAATAACATTCGTATTAAATTTTAATGGATACTAAAGAACAATATTCAATATAATTTATTTACGTTTTTTCCATTTAACATCAAAGTTACATTATGTAAAGCCGTAGAAATTTAGATCAAGCCAGATTAAATTAGGTTAAATTAAATTGGTGAAGCTAAGCATGGCAGATAGAAGTGTTTACGTTCCTCAAATTGAATTAAGCATAAAAGTTAGCACAGGTTTTTGAAAACAGCAATCCCTTTCAACCCTAGAAAGCAACTGCTGCTGACTTTTATGCCCTTTTCAAACGTTAGATAAAAATTACTGCATACCCTTTTCTATATTTAAAACGGTACAATTGCATCCTATGCTTTTCTAACTTTAGAAAAAGAATGAAGCACTCTTCTCTAACTTTCAGAAAGGGATAGGGCTGCACTCTTATTGACCTTTTTCCTAACGTTAGAAAGGGACTATTGCACTCTCCCTCACGCTTTTCTAAATTTGGAAAGAGATTACTGCAAACTTTTCTTCAGTTTTATAACTCAGAAAGGAGTCATTGCACTCTTCATTATATCCTGACCTTAGAAAAGGTTCTTCGCTCTTCTTCATCCGTAAATTAAAAAAGCAGCAGGTACCGTACATTGTAGAAGGGAGGAAACTCGAGCGCTGTTAATAAGAGTTTCACTGGCTTCCACAACATAATTAATAATTAGTCTAATTTAAGTCTGTTTATATAAATCAAGTAGGGTTAAATGGGTTACGTTAGATTCTATTAGAGCTGATAGGTTCAAATGGGTTAATTAAATTAAATTCTTCATCTAGTGCACTTATCAAGAATATTTATTACACAGTTTATATTCTGAATATTAATTATCATCGATTTTTAAAGAACGGCAGGAGAAAAAGTGACTAAAATTTAATTATTTTCAGTTATTTTTATTGTTGTTTTGAAAGATTAAAAATTAAAATTAAAACATTTTAAATTACATCCACATATAATTGCTTCTAATTATAATTATATTATTTATTTTCGTACCAATTTTTCCACCAAAACTCAATGTGTAATATTTCTACAACTTCAATCAATATAACGATTACATTTTCTATCGATCTTCGGAACTTTTCAAGTTTTTATCGTCCAATTTTATGTATCCAACTTTTAAAGGGGGTGAGATAACCAGGAACTGTTGAAACAATTCTAACTTCAAAACACATCGATACTTTCTCTATAATTGAAAATACCATCTAACTCGCACTGTAATCGAGACGAACTTCCAAACTTTTTACTCTACCACTTTTGTCGATGATTCCTGACTTCTTTTTAAGAGAAATTACACATTTTTTACTTCAATTACTATATACTCCAACACATTAATTGAATATTTTACGAGATATAAATCAAATATTTTCATAAATACGTGTTGAAAACGTAGAGAGACTATTGATTACAAAGGGAATCTTGCTAAGCTTTCAATTCAAAAGTCTAGTTTTTCAGAAAATATGCAAGAATTAATTGTATTAATTAATTGTTTTTTACGTTCCGGTATTCATTTAATTTTATAAAATGACTTTTATCGTGTCCGGAAGCCAAGATACGAATTTAGAGATGGAATCTGGATAGGGATTGATAAGAAAAGAAAACTAGGAGAGACCTACAGAATTTTGTCTTTTATTACGTCCGCTGGATTTCTCGACGTTATTTCCCACGCTAAGAAAAGTATTTTCTTCGAAAATTTTGGGTTACCATCTTTAAACTAAGCTCTCATTGTTACTGCTCTCGTCAAACCCATTTTTTTGTCGTTCAGCCGTAGGTACAGTACAATGGAGAATGGCATCGTGGGAACCATTTCCAAAGACATCATCGCGTGTCTAACAGATATTTGGAGTCACAATAAATCAAGTTTATTCTCAATCTTAAATAAAAATCTTCCCGAAGAGATGTTTCATATAATATAGCAACTTCGAGTGAGAAAATTAACTAAAATCACAAATAATTCGGGATTATTTCTATTCCTTCGAGTGTTTTCTGTATTAGATATATAAGAAAATCATTTTTTTAAGATTATTTAAGAAGATACGATGCTTGTAACCTTGTTAAAATCATTAAAAATGCGTTAGAGTAAAAGAAAAACAATGAAAAACATGTCATAAAAACGGAAAATAAAAGGAAAAAAAAAGTGGAATAAACGTGTGAGCAATTGCAATTACACGACTTCGTAACGACTCACCTTTATCCGTGATACATTATGACTAATCATTATCGTGTAACGGCTTCCGTAATTACTTGGTCACTTATAATTACGCAAAACAATTTGTTATCACGTTTACGGCTCACTTAATTTATATCATAGAAACATTTTTATAAATTTGGGTTATTTTATAACACTTTCGACTTAATATAAAGCATATAGTAATAATAATAATAAATCTCATTTACATCAAAAATTCACTATATGAGTACGGGCAGACGTATAAATATTTCACATTATACGAAAAAAAATCATAAATAATCATAAAAACGTGAAAAAATCAAAAATAAAATGCTCTTAAATAAGTAAAACGAATAAAAGTTTGAGATGTAAAGGTTAAAATTTGGAAAAAGTTGTTGAAAAAATCAATAGCCAAAGTGAAAGTTCGGCTTCACCTCATTACTTTTCAATTTACAGTTTTATGTCGATTTATTTTAGTAAAATATTATAAATAATCCTTAAAATATGAATAAAATAAAAGATAAATGTAGTTAAATAAATAAATTTATTAAAAATTCAATATAAATACATCAAAACACAGAAAAAAAAGTCATTTAAAGAGGTGAAAGTTCGGCTTCACCGCTTCACTCGTTTCAAATTATGAATTAGAAATGTCAATCGTTTAATAATCAATTTAACAAATAATCAAACACTTTGCATTGTTGTAATGAGAATATTTACATATTATATCGATTTCAAATTAATGTAAACCATTATTATGCATGCAGAATGTTATGATTGCCACACGTAAGAGAAATTGAAAATTATTATTATAAACGAAACAATAATATTATTAATTACTCATCAGTTACAACAATACGTTAATTTAACATTGGTGAAATGTATTATTTATGCCTCACTGTTGAAATTAACGTGCCAATTTCTTGATAACTCTTTCACAATCTTTATGAGGTAAAACCGGATTTACAGGGGAATTTTTAAATTTTATACGTGTTTTTAGCTAATTAAATGAATTTAAATTTATTCAAACATAAAATATTGTTATTTTTAAACTTTTAATTATGCTGAGAATTATTTTATAAACAATTTTAGCTCTTTAAGTCTCTAAAATTGGATTTGTCTCTAAAGGAAATTTCATTGCTTTCAGGCAAAAATTGTGATAAAATTTGATCGAAGAATGCTTTCAGAAAAAAAGTTTAAAGTAATTAACTGATTTATTAGGAAATTTTTTGCCGGATTTTACTTTCAAATTCCAATTTGTTTAGAGGAATGAATGAATGGCGTTGTTTGAAACAAGATCAATGTTAAGCTGTGTTATAGAAAGAGTCGAGACGTATCTGGATAAATAAAATAAAATATAAGAAAAAAAATAGAATTCTTTGGCTTATTTTAGTCCAGAAATACATGACATAATAATAGCAATTGCTGTCGATGAATGGCGTGAAGTGAAAATTTCAATTTTCTACGTTATTACAATTCTCTCCTTCAAATAATTCTCTGAATAAAATAAAAATTTAGACAGCCTAAACTGAATACAAATAAAATTCTGAAAGAGACTAAAATCGCTATTTTATTTTTGAATAAAAGAGATTTTTCAATAAGCTTCTATACATCTAGAGTTGGGTAAAAATACCCTCAAATGAAAATTTCCTCTGTAACTTACAACGTTCGTCCCACTCTTCCATCAAAAGTCTATGTATTTTTCTCTAAATTTTGATTTAAAATGGAAATATTTTACTTAATTTTCATCAAAATTACCATAAAATTAAACGTACTTGAAATATTTACATAAAAAACCCCACTAATTACAGAAATTAAGCTTTAAAGATTGAATATCTTAACACCCAGTAACCCAACGAATAGCTCAAAAAATAAAATAAAAACAAGAAGAAATGAATAAAGAAACTTTTAAAAAGCTCTCTACAATGATCTTAATGATTTAAACTAACGTTTAAATCATTGTAGAGACTGCATTAGTGTATAAAGGGATCAATTGTCAACACAGAATATCACTTATAAAATTAGCCCGAAGGAAATTTGACAAAATGCAAGTTGACAGATGCCTCGGGTGTCATTCTACCATTTTCTAATAATAAAACATTGTAACGTTCCCGACAGATGGAAGCACCGTAAATACACGTGTTAGGATCGATATTGTTCTTTCCTTCAATACGTGAATCTTCGCTTACTAAATGATTCAAATCTCTTATTAATTAATTATTTTTGCGTGTCGTCAATTATATAAAATGCAAATTAATTCGTTTTAATTGTATTTTTTTTCTTTTTAAGTTTAATTAATATTTTAAGCGCAATTAATTTTTTTTAATTGGCTATTGGTTTAGCGCCGCGATGCGAATAATCGATATTCTAATCCTTTATATTTAATTTATGAAGCGAATTTAATGTTAATGAATAAATAGAATTTGTGGAATTTAATATAAAATTGATTAAAATTTAATAATTTTGTTTGCGTGCGTATTCGAATTCTAATTCGGAATGTTTAACGGTCGCTTCGCGTTGCGTCGCGTCGCCAGGCGAATCCTTCACACTAAGACTATTTCTTAAAAACTAGCGCGTTGAGAAATAAACCATGACCCACATACTACGCGTTTCGCATTATTTTATAATAAATATTGTTATATTTTGTTTTTATTCGGCTTACTCCTCG